ATAAATAAAAACGTTGAAAAAAAAAATTAAAAAAAAAAAATTCCAGCTCTTCCATTTACTAGCTGTGGGACTTGGGCAGGTCACTTGATCTTCCTGAATCTCAGTTTTCTCATCTATAATATGAGGATATTCATACTCACGTCCTAGAGTTTTGTGAGAATTAGGTGAGACAAAGTATGTAAATTTCTAGTATGTTGACTGTCATAGAGAAAATGTTACATGGTGATAGCCATTACTGTTAGTTACCTGATTCTGAGGATACCATAATTTTTCAAGTTTTCACATATCTGAAATCAATATAGTTCCACTGACCTATGGTAGCATGGTTCCATCACATACATCTTACAAATACTGTATATTTTTCACATTTTTTTCTTCTTTGAAAGCATTGTAGATAACATTTTAGAATCAAGAGAATATGGAATTACCTTTAGGACCCTAAAAATGCTGGGACACCTCAGTGTGGAAAAGCAGACTCCATATAGGATGCTGGCACCTGAGTGAACTAACCATCTTACCAGGAAACGTGCCACTGGGTGTATGGCCATGGAGATCAGGAGCTGGCTAACCACACCCTGAAAAAAGGTCTTCAAAAGGCTACCTCCTGAGCTCAGTGGTGCCCCCCCCCCACTCCAGCTATAATTGCACAAATGATTAAACATACGTATCATTGTCCAGAGGCTGGTTCATGATGACATTCCTTCCCTTGGGAGCATAGTTCCACTGCACATCCAGGATGCCCAAGTAGTAGACTCGAGTGGCCCCATCAGTCAGTCGGGGCCACAAAGGTTGCAGAAACAACAGAGCCCAGAAGAGATGGCCTGGTTTCATGGCCCACATAACTCTGGGAAACAGGCAAATGAATAGCTGCTGGTATGAAAGAAAGAAAGAAGAAAGAAAGAAAGAAAGAAGAAAGAAAGAAAGAAAACAAAAGGGCTTTGTGTGTGTCTGGAAAACTAAAAAGGCAAGAGCCTCAGGCAAGTGCCTGAGAAAGCAAAAACCAATTAGCCCAGAATCTCTCTCTCTCTTACCTGATCCCTTTCAGTTCAAGAAACATTCAATAATATCTGTATATTGGACTTTGGAGAGCAAAGTTAAAAGGTCACTTATAGTGATAATTATGTATCACTTCTTTCAGATTAGAAATATGGATAGAGGGGCGCCTGGGTGGCGCAGTCAGTTAAGCGTCCGACT